TCTTGGTTTTACTATTTCTCTCCTTCTACAACTTTTCTGAGTTTGTTTGCTGTTCATTTTCTTCAGATTTTTGAGATGTGTGTTTAGGTTTGGATTTGGGCTTTTTCTTGCATTGCTATGGATTTCCCAGTTAGTACAGCTTTTGCTGAATCCTGTGGATTTTAATAGCTTGTATCTTCTTTCTCATTGGTATCAAGGAATTTTTTAAATTTATTTCTTGATTTCCTCTTTGAGCCAGTTATTTATTTAGCAGTACTTTGTTCAGTTTTTAAATGTTAATTTTTCCTCATCTTCTATAGTTAAATTCAATTTTCATGACATTGTAATCTAAAAGGTACTTTGTATGATTTCTATATTCATTAATTTATGTATGACTTAGTATATGATATAGCCGAAAGAATTTTTAATGTGCACTAGAGAAAAATGTGTATTCTTTTTTGGAAATGAAGAGTCCTGTATATTTCCAGCAAGTCCAGTTCTTTTACCTCTTCATTTAGGTCTCTTGATCTTTACTTGGGCTGGAGCGATAGCACAGCTGGTGGGGCATTTGCCTTGCACTCAGCCAACATGGCTGATCCGAGTTCGATTCCTCTGCCCCTCTTGGAGAGCCCAGCAAGCTACCGAGAGTATTTTGCCCGCACGGCAAAGCCTGGCAAGCTACCTATGACGTATACAATATGCCAAACACAATAACAATTGTCACAATGGAGACGTTACTGGGCCCATTCAAGCAAATCGGTGACCAAGGGGAGGACAGTGACAGTGACAGTATCTTTACTGATATTCAATCTGGTTGATCTGTCTAGTGGAGTGTTAAAGTCTCCCACTACTATTGTGTTTCCTTCAATGTGTTTCTTTAGGTTTGTGAGCAGAAGCTTTATGAACTTTGCTGACCCTTTCATTTGGTGCATAAATGTTGATCACTGTAATTTCCTTTTTTCATTTTATAATAAATTTTATTAAAGAGCCATGATTTACAAACTTACTGATAGTTGAGTTTTAGATATTCAATAATTTAACTCCAATCCTGAGCATGATATATTGTTTCCCTTTACCAGTAATTAGTGTCCATGACTGTCTCTGATTACTTTCTTTATAATGAGTGGTATTTGGGCTGATGTAAGTATGGCTGTCCCAGGTTTTTTTTTCTGTACCATTGTATTGCATGATTGTTTTCCATCCTTTCACTCTGAGTATGTATTTAACCTGTGCCTTTAGGTGTGTTTCCTATAGGCAACAAATGACAGATTTTCTTTCCTGACCCACCTCACCATTCCATGCATATTTATAGGGGAGTTTAGTCCATTGACATTGAGAGAGGTTATTGATACAAAGGGCTGTGTTGCCATTTTTGTGTATGAGTATGTAGCATCAAGCTATTTTCACAAGAGTATATTTTGCTTTTTATAGGCAGTCTTTCAGTAATTCTTTCAGGATTGATTTAGTTGTCACAAATGCTTCTAGCTCTTGTTTGTCTGAAGAGGTTCTTACCCGTCCCTCATGTCTAATTAATATCTCTAATAGGGTAGTGGAATCTAGGTTAGAATATTTTTCATTTAGTATTTTTTTTATTTTTTTCATTTTAATTGAGAAGGTTTATAGGAACAAACTAGATATTTAAAATCAAAGGCCAATTCCTGTCTTATGTTGTTGTTTGATCCATTCATTTGTGTGGCGTATAATCTGTCTTAAAACCTTAGCAAGAAACTAGACAAAACTGAAAATACCTATTAACAATATCATTTTTATATACTTCTGTTCTAAGCAGCATTTTTATTTTAAACACTTAATTGGTTTATCAAATGCCTAATTTTCTCACAAGCAGCATATTTTAAATTTTGGAGATTTAATAAACTGATTAAGATAGTCAATTTAAAAGACAAGATTAGTCTCATTCAGGGGTGGTCCATGCTGATTCAACAGACCAGGCACAGTGTCTTCATTAGTCATTTAGTATTTTGATTATTTTATTCCACTCTTTCCTTACTTGGAAGATAACATGTGTAAGGTCTGTGACAATTATTTCCCTTGCATTTGACAGTTTTCATCTCTCTTGCTGCTTTAAGCAGTCTGTATTTTTTTCACCATTTTGATTACTATGTACCTAAATTTATTTATTTATTTATTTATTAAAATAATTTATTTATTTATTGAATCACTGTCGGAAAAGTTACAGAGCTTTCAGGTTTAGGTCTCAGTCTTGTAAATATCAAACACATTTCCCTTTACCAATACTTATTTTTAACCGCGAACCCCAATAGAACCCCACCTCCCACCCCTCCCAATTCCTGTGAGGCAGATGAGTTCTAGTTAACACTCTATCTACTTTGACTAGATTCATTGTTTCGATAAAAGATGCACCATTATTATTTAGAGTTTACGACCCCCACCCCCGAAATCAGACATGCTGAAAGAGCGTTGTGAAATGGTTTGCTCTCTACAGCTGGGTTTTTAAAAATTAAATGATGTTGCGCGGCCGCAATAGCGGCCGCGCAGTTTTGGATTTCTGCTATTTTACTTATTAACCCTGGTAGTATTTCTATTAAAAGTAAGATAGTTAAGGGATTAGTTTCTGTGCTCTGGAGTCATGGCCGTGCCGGAGAGCCGCTAGTGGGGGGCAACTGGTGACCTCGGTAGGGCGTGAAGGACGGACCCGGAACGCCACCCTTCCCATGAGGTCCCTGCCACCCCCACCCCCAGCTCAAACCTGCTGTCCACAAGGCTCCCGTGTGGCCGCCATCTTTCTTTCCAGAGAGGCCAGGGCGAATGGGGCAACACCCTTTCCCCTCCGGGCAGGCATGCTGGCGCGGTTTAACACATAGTCCATTTGCTTTTCTGCTCCAAGCGACTGGTTTTCTGTGCTAAGTCCTTGTGCTTCCGGGGCCGTGGCCATGCCGGAGAGCCGCTCGTGGGGGGCAACTGGTGACCTCGGTAGGGCGTGAAGGACGGACCCGGAACGCCCCCCTTCCCATGAGGTCCCTGCCACCCCCACCCCCGGCTCAAACCTGCTGTCCACAAGGCTCCCGTGCGGCCGCCATCTTTCTTTCCAGAGAGGCCAGGGCGAAGTACCTAAATTTATTTTTTGCACCTATTTTGTTAGATACTCTTTAAATCTCTTGAATCAGTGCAGAAGACTCACAACAGAGAATGGGGAAGTCCAGTTATTATTTCTTCCACCAGTCATTCTTCCCCTTTTTTCCCTTTTCCTCTCCTGGTATTCCTGTAATTCAGAAATTATTCCTCTTGCTCTTAAAAATATTATATTCTCTTCCTTTCCTTTCCTTTTCTTTTGGCAGTTTATTATTGTTGATGGTTAGTATTGTGTCTCAATATCACTGGTAAGGTGTCTCCATGAGCTGAGCTCTGTTACTGTGCCTTGCTATTGTATTTTTAACTCCTTTAATACCTTGGATCAATTCATCCTTGAGCTAGTTGAATTTCTCTTCCAGTGGTTTCTTTATTTCCATTGTCATTGCATGGAGTTTAGACTTAAGGTCTTCCTCGATGAAGTTTGAGTCTTTATTTGAGCTCTATGATCTTCTGGAACTTCTGCCCCTGTCTGCCAGAGCAGGTGAATTCCTTTGTTCCTCCACTGTTCTTAAAGGTTTGTGGTTGCTGCAATTTGAACTTCAGATACCCAGCTATCTGAGATCTGATCTGGTTTGTCATTTTTGAGTAAAGGAGTTCCTATTTATAATCTGTTAATGTAAGGATTTCTGTGCCTTTAAGAAGCTATTTTACTTTATGTTCCCCAGATGAATGCAATCTTTCTATGTCTATCCCTCTCTTTCTGACTCATTTCGCTTAACATGATACTTTTCATGTAGGTGGGAAATGGGCACGGGTGGAGGGATGGGTACTCGATCATTGTATAATTGAAACTCAGGCACAAAAATTTGTAAGTCTACAACTTTACCTCATGGTGTCTCACTAATAAAAAATTTAAAAAAATAAGTAAAAAGAAGCTATTTCAGTGGTCGTACCAGTAAATATATAATTACTCCGATTTACATAGCAGGGTTATTATGGGGGTATTCCTGGACAGATACCAAAACATGTAAGCTCTCAGAGTTCGTGAGGTTGAGTAGGAATAGTTGTTGTGCTGATATTTTAGCAGTTTGGGTAGGAATAGTAGTTGTGCTAATATTTTAGCAGTTTGGGGTTCCAGAGCCAGCATTTGGGACAAAGGGTGATGGGGTGAGTAGAGTTTCAGAGCCTTCAACACGCCTAAATGATGACAGGCCAGCATCAGCATTAATCAGCATTAATGTTCCTGCATTAGGAGCAGGTCCTGAGTTTGAGAGCCAGCAGTGGGGGGGCTTACTTGTTCCACAGGACTCAGGAAGAGGTCACGGTATAAGTGGTGATGGGAAGAGAGGAGAAAATTTTTATGACTTTAATTATGCGCAAAGATAGGTAGAGTCTAAGCCCTCAGTACCTCATAATGTGACCTGTTTTGGGGAATGTGTTCTTTAAAGGGAAGTAATGTCCATATGAGATCATTGGGGCGGGTTCTAATCAACTGTGATTATTGTTCTTTTCCAAAAAGGGAAATCTGAACAGAGAAATAGGCATACATCAAGGAAGGGCTGTTAGTAGATACAGAAGATCTACTAGAGTGATGCATTGATAAACCAAGTAAATAACAGAGAATTCTGGAAATACCAGAGAGCATACCCCTGTTAATATCTTGATTTATTCACAAATGTGGGACAGTAAATTTCTGTTGCTTAACGCCACCTGACTTTTGGTACTTGGTTACAGCAGCCTTATGAAATGAACATAAAACCTCAGTTATGATATTTCTACCCCTTCTCAGCTGCTAAGTGCTCTCGGAAATCTGATATATGTGACAGTGTCATCCTGATTTGTCCAACGTTCTTCAGAACCTCTTCACCTCTATAATCATTTAGTTTCCCCAGTAACATATGGTGTCTTTCAGAAAGAACAAGTGAAAAGCAATTAATTGGACCCAGTTCTCTATCATGTTTTGTTAACAGGTTATAAAATTCTCAAACCAGAGATCATCTACAAATTGGAGCAAGAAGAGGAGCCATGGATGCTGGAGGGCAACATTCCTCATCAGAACTATCCAAGTGAGTGACTGTGATTCACACAGGAGATATGGAAATGCATTTTTTTCTAAGAGAAGTCAGTGCTTTTAAAATTATATTATACTGCTCTTTTGAAGGTTCTAAACTTTAGCAGTGACTTGAGGATAGATTGCAATGACCTCTCATGTACCAAGTTACTCTCTCCCTTTATTTTCCTTACAGTGATCAACTGTGTTCTTTGCTTATTTCCTCCCAGGAGAATTGCTTCTGTTTCTATACTCCAAATGCTCTCTCTCCTTCCATCATATTCTTATGCTTCATTACTGAAACCACACTTCCCAGGATCTTAGATTCTTATCAAACACGTTCACATTTCAGTACATTTGCCTTCTTTCATGATCTGGTGATTTTCTTGCTTCTGTTCTTTCTCTTACCAGTGCCACTTTCTGTTCTAATTCCTTCTCATTCTCATTCTCATTCTCATTCTCATTCTCATTCTCATTCTCATTCTATTTCTCTCATCTCTCAGCTCATTCTCTTTTCATTCATTTTCATTCTCTTCTCAAATTATGGTCACCAGTCTCTGTTCCTATTCTCTTTGTAGATATAGCCTTCAGATATCTCACTCTTCTCCATCTTCCCTATTTCTAACTATCTCTCCAAATCTTCAAACTTTATGAGCACAGTTACTTGTCCTGTTTCTTTTAAAATCAATTTTATTAAGGTACAATTTACATAAGTGTACAGGTTGGTGAGTTTTTTTCTGTATTGAATCACGTGAATTATAAAGTTGCAAAATTCTTCATGATTGAGTTTCAAGTATACAGTGCTCAAACATCAGTCCCTCCACCGGTGTCCACTTCTCTCCACCAATGTCCCCTGTCCCTCCTGGCCCCCTTCCTACCTCTCTGGAAGTCACTTTTTTCTTTTTCCTCACCCCCTTTAAACATTGTGGTTTTTAATAATGTTACTGATAGGGTGCTGTACATATCACTGTATCTCGTTTCAGCACCCAGTGTTTGTTCAAAGTGACCACTTCCCTTTATTATTGTCATAGTGGTCCCTTACCTAATTTATTCCCCTTTCCCCCCTCCCCTCACTGGCACATTTGGAACTAAGGACCAGTTATCCTGCTCTTCATTTCTATTGCCTTTGGGCATTAGTTATTCTCCTACTAGTTTTTGGTGAAAAGTTAGATATATGTTTCCATTATTTATTTGTTTGTTTGTTTTGGAGGGACTTCCCGAGCAGTGCTCAAGGGACCCAAGGTTCATTCCTGGTGATACTTAACCAACTGGGCCAGATGGTTCAATGATCAGGCCAGTACTGTATGGGGGACACAAGGGCCACTCTTGGCTGTGCTTGGGGCTTTCCAAGGCTGTTCCTGGCCATGATCAGAGACTCTGTGATGTAGAATATCTGGTTTTGGTTCTTATGTGTGTAAGGCATGACTCCTGCTGACCCCTAAGCTATCTTCATCACCCATATTTTTCATTTTTATCAGGATGCTTATATTCTTTTTTATCATTGAGTTGTAAGAGTACTTTATATTTTTGGAGATAATTAGTTTGCCAGATATATATATATATATATATATATATTGCTAGTATTTTTTAAATCAACAACTTGTAATTTTATTTTCTTACTGGTGCTAAAGAGCAAGGCTTTAATTTTAATTTATCATCTTTTGAATGTTTTTAGTAATTTTTGGATCTGCCTAAGAAATTTTTGCCTACTGTAGGCACACAAAGATTTGATCATATTTTATCCTATAAGTTCCATCAGTTTAGCTATTTTCAGTTGAAGTGTGTGGTCCACTTTTTGTGTTTGATATAAGATTGATATTAATTGTCTTTGACATACTATCTAGTTGTTCTAAAATTGTTTGTCAAAGATACTTTCTTTTCTCTATTGAATTTTGTAAGCATAACTTGTGTGTCTATTTCTAGACTCTTGATTCTGTTCACTTGATCTGTATATTTTTAATGTATGCTTTATTATTATTATTATTATTATTAAAGTTGACTAGATTAACATGTCTGAAGACAACTGCCAAAGGAAATATAGTTTGTAACTTAAAGTACCTCAGTGAAAAGAACATGCCATGCCACTTCCACATGGAGAAGCACCAGGGTTAGCTTGGAGGTAGAAGTAAGGGAAAGGCAAGGGCAAGAGCCTTTATTGTGATTTATCATGGGAAGGAATGGGTGAGTCAGAGTAAGCAGGCTGGGGAGGTTTTTGGATTGATGAGCCTGAGTTGTTTCAGAGGTATCTGTTGGTAAGGATGATCCCTGGTTTCCTTGAACTTGGCCCTGAGGTGATGAGCGTAAGGCAGTAGTGGTTCAACCTGTGACAGCTCTACAAAGGAGTTATTGGTGAGCCTGGGCTCTGGAATGGGTTCGCTTATGTAAGGAAAGGGGGGGGGGGGTGTTTGTTTTGTTTTGTTTTATCATTGGGGTAGGATGGTACTAGAGAACCAACCATAGTCCTCACATGCAAGGCAGGTTCTTGCCCGCTGATGTTCACTGCAACTTGGATAGAACTGAAATTATTTTACTTTAAGTTAAATAAGTCAGTAGGTGGAGACCAAATACTAGATGATCTCACTCCTTTGTGGTATATCACTCTCACTGTCCCTGTCATCCCGTTGTTCATTGATTTCCTCGAGCAGGCACAAATAATGTCTTCATTCATCCTAGCCCTGAGATTTTAGCAAGTTCCACATTGGAGGCTCTTTCAGGGTTAGGGGAATGAGACCTATCTTTGTTACTGGGTTTTGGCATATCAAATACGCCACTGGGAGCTTGCCAGACTCTGCCGTGGGGACAGGATACTCTCAGTAGCCTGCCAGGTTCTCCAAGAGCAAGAACTAGACAATAAGACGTCCATGCGCTTCCGGGAGCTTGGTTTTATAGTCTCTGGGTCTTGGCCATTGATGGATTACATGGCGCTGGGGGTAGTTGGTGGTTGTAACGCCTAGCTACTGGAAGATGGGGGACTGGGTGGAGGAGGCCCAGTCCCAATCCGAGCAGGCTTGGAGATCTCAGCCCCGAGTCCCGCACACCTGGCTGTCTTCACTGGGTCCCCTTGGAGGGGGGCATGTTGAGTTTCCCTCCCTGCTGTGAGCAGAGCCCCGACAGCTGAAGACCTCTGGAACCAGCCACAGCCATACTTAAGACCACTCTCCACACGCTCAGATGTGCCTCACACATGAAGGAACCGGTAGAGGAACCCAGGTGTGCGGGACCTATGTGGTATATAGAGAAAGAAAACACTGCAATATACAGTATGGAATGATAAACCCTTTGACCTTTGACTGTAAAACTAAGAATACCAAACAGCGGGGTGAGGAAGCTGGAGAAAGGAAAAGTTGAACTAGCTGTGACACAAGGACAGTGGTGGAGGGTATTGAGTACTTTGGTATTGATGAAAGTGCAGTAACTTTGTATATCAAAACCATAAACATGTTACATAACCATAACCATGTTTCAATAAAAATGAATTAAAATTGGAGGAAATACAGGAAATAGAGAAATACAAAAAGATAGTTAATGCACTGTTCTTTTGGCTAACCCATTCTTTTAAAATTAGTATTTTTTCTTTTGCTCTTTGGGACACACCCAGCGATATTCAGGGGTTACTCCTAGCTCTGTACTCAGGAATTACTCCTGGCAGTGTTTGGAGGACCTTATGGGATGCTGGAGATAGAACCCATGTCAGTCATGTGTAAGGCAAACGCCTTACCTGCTGCCCTACACTCCAGCCCCACCATCCTTTTTTTAAAAAAAAAATTATTGTAGCTTTTCTTACAAGTCTTGAAATCAGGTAAATAAGTTCTTTAGATTTGCTTTTCTATTTATATTGACTCTTCTAGGTCATTGTATTTCCACAAAATTTTATAATCAGTTTTTAACATTTTTAAAAAGACTTGCTGGGATTTTGTTTGGAGTTGAGATGGCTCTAGAGAATAGATTTTTTTTTATTAATTTTTATTAGTGAAACACCATGAGGTACAGTTGTAGACTTACAAATTTTTTGTGCTTGAGTTTCGATTATACAATGATCAAATACCCATCCCTCCACCAGTGCCCATTTTCCACCACCATGGATCCCAGTATCCCTCCCACCCCCATCCCACCCCCATCCCACCCCACCCCTGTGGCAGGGCATTCCCGTTTGTTCTCTCTCTCGTTTTGGGTGTTATGGTCTGCAAAAGAGGCATTGAGTGGCAATCATGTTCGATCCATAGTCTACTTTCAACATGCATCTCCCATCCTGGGAGGATCCTCCAGACACACTTTCTTTGGTGCTCCCTTTAGAGAATAGATTTTTAAGGTGAATTGACATCTTAACAACATGAGTCTTCTATTTGTAAAACTATTTTTACATTTATTTACACCTTTATTTTTCCAGCAAAACTTTCAAGGGCTAGAGAAATGGTACATTGTGTAGGGCATTTGTCTTGCACACGGCTGACCAAGGTGCATCCCCAGCATCCCGTATTGTCCCTGGAGCCTGGAGCCCTCCTAGGAGTGATTCCTGAGCTTAGAGCCAGGAGTACACCCTGAGCACTTACAGGTGTGACCCCTTCACAGAGTAAACAAAAATGGTGTGTCTGTGTGTTGGGGGGCGGGGGTTCTTATATATGTCATTAAATTTATCTTTACTTATTTGGATTTTAATAATTTCCTAAATTTTAGTTTTTTAGTCTTCATTGTTAACAATAGAGTTTGGTACATTGATTCTATGTCCTGAAGCATTGTAAAATGCATCCATTAGTTTCTCTATAGGTTCTTTAGGGTGTTTTATATAACCATTATCACTTTATGGATACTTGCTTCTTAGTGTCTAATCTCATGCCTATGTTTTTCCTTTCCTTTTTGAAATAATGAAAGCTTTATGTTGAAGTGGTGAATAATGGCAGGCTTGCCCTGTTTCCAATATTAGGGTCAAAACTTTTATCTATTAAGTATGATCATCCCAACCTCAGATATTCCTTCATTTCTTTCTATTTATTTAAATTTTTTAATTGAATTACTGTG